TTCATTATAAACCGCTTTGATAGCCTGCAGTTCTGAAAAGGATAAAATGAAAATAAATTTTCCCTTTAGGAGCAATCCCTAGACCTACTAAGCCTCTTGATCTACATATTTACACTGTAGAAGCCTTAACAAAATTAAATCCAGCCCGCTAATCCAAGTTCCTCATACCACTGAGGTAAACTTAGTGGGGGTAAAAAAATGGCTATTAGTCAAGCAGATCTTTACCATTCACACAATCTACTAACAGTATAATTAAGCTGCTCCCTATGCAGCAGGTCAAGAATCTGCTTTACACAGGGTTATGCCAAAGGGCTGCCACAAGAAACAAATTCCAACACAGCCTGAGGTCTGGAACGGGTCTGCCAAACAGAAAGGGTCAAAACCAGAACTGACGACTAGAATTATCTAATTGCACTGGGCTTCTATCTTCCTCCAAATTATTAATAACTTAACAAATGAAACAAGGCCCACCCTAAAGCATATTTTTCAACACAATTAATTTCTGAGTGAATCTGTTACTCAAAACAACTATTTAAGGAATCAGTTAACAAAAAGCGAGGAAGTTCTGTGCTGCACAGACCCTAAGGTCCATACAAAGGGAACAGGAGCTGCAGAGCAAACATCTAAAAATCTAATGAGCCACGAGCAGGAAGCTAGATATTAATTTACTCTGATCTCCAGAAAGGAGTTAAGACTTGAACATGAATTGTTGCTTTTCTCCTGGACAAAAAAAAAAACCAACCCAAACATCCAGCTACTTCACTGCTAAATTCACAAGCTATCAGAGTCCCCAGTCACCACAAAGCTGCTAATTCAGATTACAGAACTTTTTAAACCTGCCAGACTAAAACCTCAAGGTAGAAACCTGTCTCAAGAGACAGATACGGCAATCAAAATGATAGACTTCCATGTTATACACTGGGAACAAAACCTTTTAAGTGCACGCATTCTTCTCAAGCATGCTGCCCCCCTGCTTGGCTTTATGACCAGGGATGTTTTGAGGAGCTGCAGCCGAGCAGACAGGATGGTTCCACAATTACAATAATACGTATCTGCTAATCCTTCCCAAACCTGTTTGTCATCCACAAAATAGCATTTAGCCCTGACCATGAGCTTATTCCCAAGGAAACCTGTCACAACACCTTGCCTGACTCCCCCCAGAGCTCACCGACAAGAAATGCTAAGCACTGACTTTTCGAATGAGGTTCTCTGTTCCCAAGACAGACACTAAAAAGTCATTAAGCATTTCTTTTAACAGATGTGTTTGCTTATAGAATGGTTTTCTGCATTCTCTCAGAACAGTACTTGGAAATTAAGTCCTGTTTAAAAAAAAAAAACCTATCATTTTCATCATGGGTTGTTTTTTTTTTTTTCAATTTCACTGCAGCCTTTCAGAACTGAAAGATGCATTGTGTCAGATGTTTCATATAGGTGATTTCATTCAGTGAGCGAAATTTTTGCTCATATATCAAATATATGTAAGTAAGACCTCAACTCCCCGAGGGTCAGACGCCTAGAGCTATTAGAAGACTGCCTTGAAATGCTTTACATTAAATATTTTCCTTGTACATCCAACCTTTAAGCCTCCATATTACTGAGAATACTTAAGAGACCAGTCCTCACTCTTACACATGTACCAAACTAAAAGTTTCCTTCTCCGTTTATTCATTGCTTAGAGACAGTAACAGGCAAACAGAGCCAAGGTACTGTCTAATGAGAAGCAAGGTCATTTTATGTCTCTGGTATTTTTAAACAGATATGAGGGATCTGAAAGAAAAAAAAAAACCAAGATAATGCAATTGTTTCACCAAGACAACTATTTATTTTAGTATCTGCTTAAAATAAAGCTATGCTACAACATACAGTAAGCTGTAACTTTTAATACAGCTTTCCAAACAGCTCCGCTCTGGGTCTGATGTGGTGAAAGTTCCTTTTCACCTTTATTTTACAACTAATTCTAAGAAGAGTTTTATCCCAGTTCTCCCTCTCCTTCTTAGCAACTTCCCTATTGAAAATAAACAAACAATGCTCCCTCTTCTCGAGAGATGTGCTGGGAGGCCTATTTATGTAAGCTGGGCTAGAATACACTACAAACACGGGAAAGCGCGATGTGCTTCAAGACCAAGCTCACCAGCAAACGGCACTGACAGTCAGTCCCTTCCCAGGACAGGGGGAAGCCCAGTCCGACACTGGGCTGTATTCACATTCCACTCCCCATTCCCCATAACTTCTCAGCCTGGTGGTTGGTTTCAAAAGAGAGTTTAAAAGACCCAACACTCAAAAACAAGTGCAAGGTTTGGTTTTTTTTGAGAACCCTTGCTGAACAAAGAAATACACAGAAACGAAAGGCTGCTAAGAAGCTTTCCTAAGCTTTGACCCAACGGCAGGCCAAGGAGCTCACCCAGACCTCAGCACCAGCTCCACGTTCACCTCCACAGCCCGGGCTTGGACTGCAGGAGAACAGGTACGCTATCAGGGATGTCAAAACACGGCGTGTAAGCTTATAGGAAATTAGGCTTTGTTACTTCCAGCAGAGGCTGCTTTTTCTTATATTAACAGACCCTACTCTTTTAATCATAGCAACACAGCCCTGCCTTAGGGAGGC